TCTCTTCTCTTCCTTGATGTACTACATGAAGGAAGAGTGGCAAGTTGGACCAATTCACATCTGTGCAAAGTTCTATTCTGAAACCAGTCCGTCGATATCACCTACCCGAATGACCTGAGAAACGGACTCAGTCAATGAACTGTAGATTGTTAGTTTTAAATTAACCAATGAGACAAGTATCACTGAGTTCAGTATAAAGAACAACGTTCGGATTTTCAACACAAATGTGAAGTCAGTCAGTTCTTCTACATCAGTCAGAAACTTGGATCGCCACGAAAAGCATCTCCAGAAGGCCACTGCAGACTCGGCTAGTTTACTAGCTCTCTAGTTTTCCAGCCAGTCCCAAGCCGGGGAAAAGAGGGAGAATTGGGCGTAGGGCTAGCGACCCTACACCACAAAACCAATCAAACTAATACAGAAACTTCAAAGCAAAATAAAAAATATTAAAAATACAAAAACACATAAAAAAGAAACTTATTCTTCGCCAGAAGTGGAGAGACGAAGTGACACAGAGGGCTGGTGGAATCCTGCCTTTGGGAAACGAGTCAGCCGATATGCCTTCTCTCGATGAAGGCAAGAATAAGAATGGGGACGTGGAATGTACGTACAATTTACGAGTTTATCTGGGAAGGCTGACCAAGTAGCCGGAGAAATGAGGAGATATGCTATAGAAGTGCTGGGGATATGCGAGAGCAGATGAAATGGATGTGGATTATAAAAATTGTCAACTGGAGAGTCAGTAATCTACTCCGGTCACCGAGACGACAGCCACGAGTACAGTGAGGGAGTGAGTGGCTATCATGATGTCACCAGTGGCAGCCAAATCCCTAATGCAGTGAGAACCAATCTCTTGTTGCAGGATTATGACAGCGAGATTCAACTCAACAGGAAATAGGGGAAGTTACCATTATCCAATGCTACTCACCTACAAACAACTCGGTACAGGAGAAGAAGGAAGATTTTTATAGACAGCTGCAAACAGTAATGGACGACATCCCAAGTTGAGACATCGAAATCCTTATGGGTGATATGAATGCCAAAGTGCGATCAGGCAAAACAGAAGGAGAAATCATCATAGGTCAAGAGACTTTTGGAGAAATGAACAACAATGGAGAACTCTTAGCAGACTTCTGCGTCCTCAGTGATTTGTTGATAGGAGATAGAGTGTATAAACACAAGGATATACGCAACAAACTGAGACTCTGCAATTAAAAGTGTTCTCTGAGACTCCACCTGGCGGGAATACAAAAAATTAGATAAACTTCATCTCAATGCTGCTCAAGGAAGTGGAAACACAACATGCTAAACACAGAGACAAGAAGGGAAGCAGATGTGGGCTCAGACCATCATCTAGTTCAAGGAACCTTTATGGTAAAGCTGGAATTCTACAGGACAAACGAAGACAGACCACAGTTCACGTTCAGCAGTCAGAAACTGAAGGACAAAACTACAAGGAAGACCATTACTGCAGATTTCAGAGACATGAATAGCACCATGTCAAGAACATGTCCAAGAAAACATGTTTCACCATTTTAGGAGGAAAGAAGAGGTACGATACAGGATGGCTCTCAATGGACATCTGGAAGCTAGTAGAAGAGAGGGGAATGATGAAACTGAAGACGACACAGTGAAAAGATGGAAAACACAAGGAGAAGCTGAGTTCAGTGTAAATGGCACTGAATAAATAAGTAAAGAAGAGCGCTAAGAAAGACAAAAGTTAATTCTATGACACCCTGGTAACAGAAGCAGGACGGACTGGCCACAGGTTACACTAGATAACTAGGTCTAAAAGAATTTCAAGGGAACCTAATTACCAAGGCGGAGAGACCAATAAACCAATGGCCTGATCAGTTCAAAGAACTCTTGAATCGAACATCACCTGTAACTCGCCCAGAAATACCAACAACACCACTCACGGAACTGTCAGTGTACACCGATTCTCCAACGAAAGCAGAAATCTTAAATGCGATCAAGCTACTGAAGTTCGAGAAGGCAGCAGGACCAGACGGAATTCCTCCCTACAGCGAACCACTAAAAAGAGACCCAGAGACTGCGGCAAATGTGCTCGCGCCATTATTACGAAAAGTAGGGAAGGAAAGAAAATGTCTACCGATTAGAAGAAAGGCTGCCTACTTTGTCAAGCTGCCAAAGAAGGACGACTTAGGCATGTGCAAGAACTGGTGTGGAATAGTGCTCTTGTCGACGCCAAGTAAAATAGTATGTCATGTTGGCCTAGAGAGAATAAAAGATGCACTGGACACAGAACTCCGCCAACCCCGAACAAGCTGGATTCAGGAAAGGAGAATCTCGCGTGGATCAAATTGCAACTCTAAGTGTCGAAATCACAGAACGAAGCCGACAGTTAGCAGTCATATCTCTTTCTACCTCAACTTCATCAACTTATCAAGGCCTTTGACGGCGTTGACCAGGAAGTAACTTGGAAACTGCTTCAACCCTGTGGCATGCAGTGACCCAAATCTGTATCAAACTCATTCAACAGCTGGCTATCCGACTATGTCACATGTCAGCGGATCTACAACGGAAAACTCAGCGAAGCTTTTGAAGCGAAGACAGGAGAAAGACTAGGTGGATGACCTCTATTACCGATGATATCACTAATTTAGGTGGACTGCATTGTGGGTCAGACTGTCCATCGGGAGCGAGAAGACGACAACACACTGGACTGACAAGGAGACTGTAGAAGATCTGGATTTCCCGCGTGGTTGATTTATGTCTAATGTCACACAAACTCGAAGGTCTGCAGGCGAAAATCAACTAACTGGCTAAAGAAGCAGACAAAGAAGACAGGATTGAAGGTGAACATAGAGAAGATGGGGGGGATGAAAATCACTAACCAACCAACCAACCAGCAACAACAACAACAACAACAACAAACACCAATCACCATCAACGGTAGAGATTTGACAGAGGTTACTCTCTTCACTTATCTGGGAAGCATAGTTCTAACCACAGGCAGATACCACGGATGAAGATGTCAAAACCGGAATCGGAAAGACAAGACACATCTTCATCAACCTGAAACCAGTTTGGAAATCTGCACTCCACAGCATATAGAACAAGATTAGGAATTTCAACACAGATATGCCGTCACTCAGTTCTTTTACATGAGTCAGAAACTTGGAGGTCACGTCACGAAAAACATTTCCAACAGTCTGCTGCAAACTTTTATCAATAGCTACAGCCTTCGTTGGTTGGCCCCATGCTGAAGATCAAATGGCCAGCCGGCCAGAAAGAATTAGCAGCAAGATACTAATCCAGAACCGATTGCTTAATAAATATGTAGGAGAAAATGGGGGTGGATTGGGCACACGCTGAGGACACTGCCAAATGACGTCGCACGCCAAGCATGTGCTTTGGTGGAAACTCAATGAGAATGGGTTATGTGTCTTAGGGTGGCATGGAGGAGGTCGTGCGAGGAGGAGGAGGAGATGAGTGACTATGGGAAATCGTGGAGTGAGTCAGATGGAGAGGACGGCAGAACATATGATAATCTGGAGACGTGCCCTTGAAGCCCTACGTTCCACCCAGAACTCAAGGCAGCAGAAATAGTATAACTATATATAATAACAAGTATTACTTCAGCTACACTCATCAATTTTGTGCACACACACATCAATTAGCCAATAACAGAGAAACAGAAAGAAGACAAACCTTTAGCATTCAGGCTTTTATTGATAGTGATTAGTTTCAGTGCAAATCTCCTCACAAAACGGAAATCAATCGGAGAACCAGGTAGTTTAATACAGCTGTTCTTTTCTTGTCGGGTACTTTTCAGTGTTGCCCACTCATGATGCCAATAGAAATCAAACCAAATAGCCCCGTGACTATTTATCCACTGTTCAGGAATGCGATGGTGCAATGACCACAGATGACTGTATTCTATCTCTAGTGTAATATCATGAGCTTATACATACAGTGTTAAGCAAGGCGAGAAAGTTCATCGATGTGGTTCTTAAACTTTATCGATTGAAATGGCTACGATATGATCCATACCTGACATGCCATCGCTTACCTTTCTCAGAAACGATCGGGTCGGTCAAATCGAAACCTGATATCAATCCATACAGTATTTCACCATGTGATTGAGTCATATAAGGAAGTATTAACTGCCTGAGGTCCTCAGGACACTAAGAACTCAAGTGTTAGGGACATTAAGTGGATTGTTTTAAAATCATGCTAAGCGGGGCAGATGCATTCACCTTATTTGACCTCATAGGTTTATTAAACGCTGGTTACTCCCCACATAACTATCTTTCCTCCTATTGATATCTATGCATTTCTCCCTTTCACTCTACTTTTATGTGCACTTTATGAAGCGCGGTTACTTAAACAGCTGTATAAAGTTCCATGATGAAAATCCACTGCAGTAGTGCTATGAAATGCCACCCATGAATATTCGGCCTCACACCAGATATGGTGTGGGTCTTATCGGACACAACTTCTTGTTAAAAATTCAGCAGGGTGCAGTCATGACACTTTCCTCGCTAGATAAATAGTGCAATTATAAATTACTGATGCGTTGTTGATATCCGAAACTGAAAACAAATAGGAATGATCCTTAGGAATCTTCGATAGTGCAATGGTCTCCAGCCACTCCTCGCATGGTCCGAGATTCGATCCCCAGTCAACACACTCCTTAACCTCGCTTAGTCGGTAATAGGACAGGTAAAGAAGGAAAGTTTGGTGTGAGGCTAGCAACCTCACCCTGTAAAGACAAAATTATCACCACTGAAACATCAAAGCTCAAGTTTGAAGCCCTACATTCCACTCGAAATGCAAAGGAATGACAGGTTAGGAATCCTCAAGATATCGATTTAAAATTTCCGACAGTAGCATTCATCAACCACACTAAATTATTCGGATAAAATGAGGTCATAGACTTTTAAATTTATAAATATAGTGATTCGTACACTGGAAAAAGAAGGCTAAAAATACATTTTTATTTTAACAAAATTAAACTGAACAGTTGCTCGACTTACTGATGAGGAATTCCATAAAAGAAGCCCGCCTCTTTCCTCAAAATAAACACCTCAATTAATCTGAGATAATATTAATTGTAGGTAAGCAAGCAAGTGAATATATGTAATACGACTTCTCTTTTCAGTGTCTTTGTTTCTGACAAAACAGCTGGGCTAAACTGCATTGATCCTAATTTGTCCTTTTATCCAATCAGAATAATGAAAATATTCAAGGACAAATTAATTTGACATTGGTCGATCGATCGATGCGCGAAAAAAAGCGAAAATCAAAATATATAGAAAAAGAAATTTCAATGAATATTTGTATTTTTATGCAGTAGCAGCCAATGGGATTACAGTGAATTGGTGAATTTCTATTGGACGATATTGTTAAATAAATCTTAGAATGCCAAAATAAAGAATGGTTAGGCATACATGCCTAACAGACGTACGTATAGGAAGACAGTGCCCCAGTCACATTTAGAGGGAATTACTCCGATCAACAGACACAGGCACACAAATGGAAATATTATACCTTAGTTTTTAATAATATTGACTATATGTATGTGGTATTTTATTGCATTTATTTGACCTACATATGAAATGTTCTTCTATCAGTATTATCCCCTAATGCATTTTTTTCCTAGCCAAATTACCAAATGCAGGGACCATTAACAATTTGTACTAATTATCAAGGATAAAACAGTGATTGATGAAAAAACAATTTTTCAGTCACGTGTGTTAGAGGAACATTTTGTTTCACCTCTGACTAGTTGGCATTTCACGTTTGCGCGCGCGCGTTCCCAAGGTTTTGATATGACACAATAACCTTTCATAATATCACCACTGAGATAAAAAAAATATCCAGCCTGGTATAATGTCACTGAGGCATTTAAGTCAAGGATATCGATCGTAAGCTGTATATGTCTAATCATTTTCATACATTTATTCCCACATAATGAATTTGAATAAAGCAAGAACAACAACAGTGGTTTATGCAGAATAACATGGTACCATCACAGTTTATTTCGTTGGCTTCGCATCAGCTGAGTGTAACAGCTCAGAGAGTTCAAGTCTGAATAAAAAATCAATGCCTGCACACAATAGTTATAATGATAATGATAATTACTTCATTCCAAACAATAGTAATCATAAAGAACAGAGTTTTCAGCGATAAGGATTACGTAATCGAATGAAAGAAAGAATAAAGGCATCCAGTAGTTACCAGGGCAAGGAAAGACTGATAACTGCTTCTTTCAGCACATACACACTCATCGGGTTTCAGGCGTTTGATGACACTGGCTGCTTAGGTGAACTTGAGGAGAACTGAATCCTATTGTCTATTGACAATTCTGAAGAATTTGTAAGGAGATGCCTGTTAGTGACATTATTGTTGTTGATGCTAAGTGACGAAGATTTCCAGATTGGTTTCAGGTTGATGAATGTGTTTCTCGCCTTCCCGATTCTCGATTTGACATCCTCGTCCATCCGTTCCTCCTGTAGTTGAGACAATGCTCTCTAGATAAATGAATGAAGTAACCTTTTTCAAATACCTCCCGTTGATGGTGATTGGCGCTGGATGTTGCTGCTGCTGTTGTTGTTGGTTGGTTGGTTACTTTCATAACCTCCGTCTTGTCCATGTTCACCTGGAGTCCTGTCTTTGCTGCTTCTTCGACCAGTTTGTCGGTTTTCACTTGTAGGTCTTCGATTTTGTGTGACATCAAACATAAATCATCCGCGAAATCCAGGTCTTCTAGGTTCTTCACGTCGCTCTAGGATATCTCTGTCTTATCGTTTCCCACTGTCTGACGCATAATCCAGTCCAGTCCACCACAGTTAGGAATATCATTGGTGATAATAAGCACCTTTGTCTGACTCCTGTGTTTACTCCAAACGCCTCGTTGAGTTTTCCGTTGTGGATCAGTTGACATGTGCCGTTGTCATACAGCTGTTGAATAAGGTTGATGAATATTTGGGGTACGCCGTAGTACTTGAGTAGTTTCCAAATTGCTTCGCGGTCAACGCTGTTGAAGGCCTTCTCAAAGTTTATGAAGTTGAGGTAGAGGTTTGATTGCCATTTTACGCTTTGTTCCGTGATGATGCATAGAGTTGCAATTTGGTCAGAACATGATTTGCCTCGCCTAGATTACTAGCTCACTAGTTTTCTAGCCGGTCCCAAGCCCGGATAAAGAGGGAGGGTTGGGGCGTGCTGCTACCAACTCCACTCCCAAAACTTAACCAAATCGCTACAGAAACTTCAACGCACAGATATATTAAAAATTCTAAAAATATAAACCTGGAGCTGTAGTCATAGAAAATGCATGGATCCGAGAAATCCTTGTATACAAATGGGCTTGAAAAATATCAGTCATAATCATCAATATTTTTATGGATTTTTTAGAGTACAAATAAAGTGGTTAAGCAGGATAATTTGTGTTGAATGGAATAAGAAGATATCGACTGCATTATGGACTAATAATTTAAGATGGGCTAGGCTTAGGAGTTAGCCATTTATGTGGCCGAGATTTAATTTTTACATAAGACATAGTAACACATAGTAATCATAAACATTATTTCTAAGTTGCGTTCTACATACAAAGCAGGACGTCACCAAAGGTATTTCCGACAGACGACTGTGGATTTCCATCAGCAGGAAGTTGCTTTTGCTAGAACATCTGTAAATGAATGTGAACATTGAACGTTGGTTCATTAACCTTAGTTGCCATTGGCGGACAAATCGAAGGCGCGAATGATTCAATCGTGTACAGGTTGGAAGAAGACGAAGAGTAAGAATAAAAGTACAACATTTTATAGACTTTGTACAGAGTATTGATCTTGACTGCCGAACAATACAATTTATTAACAAAATAAAATAATAAATAAAAAAATAAAATAAAATGAAATAAAATAATACTACCAATCAAATCAAGTGAAAAACAATGGAACTATATAAATGAATTTAGGAAGTCGTGTGATTAACTTGATATGATTATGAGCAATAAATTGTGCTCGAAACGTCATCAGTAAATATTACTGTATAACACTGTGAGACTCTATCAAAATAAAAAATTTACCCATAATGGAATTATTAACAAGCCCTTGTGTTTTGCAGTTAAGGTCAATATTGTGCATAGTAATTGTCGGTTCGAGCGTCTTCGAAGATAATAGGAACTTAGGCTTAAGTTCCTTGACAACATCACATATCCCACTGGAAAGGATAAGCGACAAGGAACTCTGAAAGGCAATGAGCGAACCAGCTGGAAAGCCCTTTCGTCAAATATATACCCAGAAAGACATCAAGGTGAATTCGACATACCCTGGGATTGCATTTAATTAATTGACGTCACATACACCAGACCCTCAAATGGGATAGGTGATATGAAAACGAATATGTCAGGAGGAAATAAAAAGCTTGTAGGTGTGGCGTATGCTACTGATAAGATTTATCAGTAGTGCACTAAGAGAAGTTCATCGGCAGAAAAATATCATAGCAGGGAGATAGTTCTGATATCAAAGAAAGCAAAGGATACACAGTTGCAGAGATACATGGGAGACGGGAAAGCAACACAAAGAAACACAATATGAAGTAGCACAATACGGAAAATCTGTGCAAATGGTGCATTGAAAATATGGTGAACATAATTTGGCTATATAGATATACCACACTGGAAATATACACTCCTTTACCAATTCCCTCGTCTTCTACTGTTACATAGGTAGTCGTGGATCTTTCTGGAAGGAATAACAGACATTTGAATGGAATGGGGTTGTATTTTCAACTCGGAACGTGGGGAATTATTAGCAGCAATGATAATGTTGCATCACTCAGCTTAGTGATTATTACGATCACAACATGCAACACTAAACATCCACATTAGCTTTACTTCAATACACAACGCGTATAACAAATGTATGCCAAAGTAGACGTGATCACAGCTGAAAATTTGATCTGTGTTACCAATGTAATACTGGTGTGTTTGTGTTCGTGTGTGTGTGTGCTTACTTTGCACAAAATAAGTCTATCTGATGCATACTCAAAGTGCAAATGAAATAACGATTCGATTTAATAGTTGAGTTAGTCAACATCAGTTTGTAGATTGTCCATTGGAATCCCGTTAATTTCTGCTTTTATGATTATTTTCATTCCCCCCTCCGGCCTAATGTACGGGATTCCGAAGGAAAACTTGAATAAACCTAACTGGTTTGATCACTTGCCAATATACAAGTTACAGAACCACTGAAAAACCATGGAGTACTGGATATCCGTTTCGTCTTAGTCCAGGACCCTTCTATATGACGCACCGGTCGGGATTCGAACCTGGCAATTTCTGGTTACAAGGCAAGTTCGAGGGACTATTTAGTCAATAAGGCATGACCCAATGGCTCATGAATTCCAAATTCTGCCACTTTGTGATAAAATACGCAATCGTCATCTGTCCAGTACTCCAAGATTTTCCATTGGTCCTCCAACTTGCTATCGCCTAGTAATCAAACCTGTAGTCAATCGAATCCCTGCAAAAAGAACAAACATAACTGTACTGCTGCTGGTGGTTCGTGTCTACTGTTGTGGAATGAGATGCAAACATTTTGGCTGTATTGATCATGAATGAATGAAGCGCGCGGTTAAATTATTTAGATATTCTTAGTGACCTTGAAATGAATTCGTTTGTATGTATGTATGAAAGGAACCTTTTATGCTATTCGTGCGTGTATGCATACTGAATGACCTTATATTTTGTTAGATCACACTGAATAAAGATGTGATAAGGTTACATATTGGCCATAAAATGTTTTGCTTTAATTATGAATTATGTTAATGATGGCCTGGATAAATCACTTGGCTACCTGAACTACCATTCAATAAAATCCATAAAAGTTTCTCTATTTCTCTTTGTTTAAACTATTTAATAATAATATTTATGGATTGCCCAATGTACTCATGGAGTTTTTTCAAATTGTCTTTCAACCTACAGCTGCGTATCCCTTGGCAACGAAAAGAAAATACTAAGTGAACTTAAAGAATAGCGATTCAGGAGTGCGAACGCACCACTCATCATGAACGTGCACTTTCCATCGTCTTATATTATGATATTGCCTCTAATTTAGATAGAAGTGCCAAATATGTTCGGTGTGCTTTCCTAGATTACACATCTACCTTTGACTATATACACAGACCTTATTTTGTTAAATGAGTTTGCTGAGACTCAAGCAGGCTGCTCTATCGATCATCAGCTACATTCCTATTTTTCTGAAAGAAAGCAGTACACAGTTTA